TGTAAGACTATTTGGAAATAGTTTGTTCATAAAACAACCACAGAATAGTTTTTGGGTTAAAGAATTACGTAATTGGTAAAACATACTGTGCTAACACGCAAACGCATTAAATGACTATTCAAAATTGACCTAATTTAGGCCTAACAAGAAATGAGTTTCAAGCACAGGCAGACAATTTGACTTTTTTTTTCTGATTGGTCTCCTACTTTTCTTCAAATTAAAAGAGCCAAAAATGTCATGTGCACAGAAATCACAACTGGAATTCAGCTGGGTTTGTTTGTGTTTATCTATGACCAATAAATGGCCAAAATAAAGCGACTCTAAAGGCAAAAAATAAAACTAGATAGTTTGCACTCACAATCTGCTGGAAATTAGTGCTGCAGACAAACACACCAGAACAGGTGGAAGATATGACTAATATCTCCCTTGATTCCCACATTACCTGCAGCTAAATACATATTAGTAAATGTTGCATCAAACACGTAAAATCCCTATTGAGCAGCAGCACCTCTATTTGCATATTCATATTCATGGACGCATGTCTCCTCACCTACTTTTTCTTAGTCATTAAATAATTAAACATTCTGCTCATTATTCATTCCTGCTCTTTGTCTTCCTAAGACGCATTTCTTTGTTCCATTTACTTTTTTCTACTCACCATATGTTTGTTTTACCCATCTACAGAACAGGGGTTGATCAGATGTTCTCTTATGAACAAATATAGCTCTGTAAATATGCACCTGCTCCTGAGAGGCGGAGGATTGTAGACGAAAACTGAGTCTCATGTAAACCTGGGTCAAAATACAATAATGCACAATCAACCGCAGGAAGAGTAAGTCAAAGAGGTGCACTTCACTGATTGCACTGAAGGTAAATCTCAGATGAAAGATGTCTCTGACTCAACATATGCACAAAGCCACGTATTCCATTTTGTCGGGGGTAAGGATGCAGGGTCTTTGTGTAGCAATCAACTGTAATGAGACTTCTGAATCGTAGATGCCATTCAGAGATTTTTGCTATAGCTGTTTAGTAACCAGGACGTTCATGGTGTTTGCACTTACATTTTCTTTACTTATTTTTTAAATGGTAAAACCTTATACTCCTTTTAAAATATGTAGCTGAATAAACAATGATTGGTGTTGTAATTAGTGCAACACTCAATTGTTACTAATAGTCTTAAAAATTAAGACCAGATATTCCAACAGTTACTTAAATTAGCAAGATATCTAGGCATGTTCCAAACGGTGACTCTTGGTTTTTTTGTGGTTTTAAGATAACATATATTTTTGTGTATCTCCCTGCTCAATCAATATCAATATCAAGTCTCAGGAAGTGGCATAAAATGTCAAATAGAGAGGTCACAGAGGAGGATAATGAATTGATGTCAAAGCTGTCATGTAGAGTTTCTGTGACATTTCTGTAATCGTCTCCGGTGCTAAAAACGCTGCAGGGAAGATGACATGTTGTTTCTGGCAAAAAAACACACAAAAATGTTCAAAGATGTAATTAGAAAAAAAAACAGATGTCTCCTGATGACTCTTGTGTGGAGGTGTTGAGGCTGTAACCCAGTTCATCATTTTAGATGGAGATGGTCACTTGACCAATTCCTGTATCTCTGCCAAGGAGGTTCTGTTTTTACTGGCTGTTTCATTAGTCTGTTTGTCAGCAGAACTTCTCAAAAACTACTGAACTGATTGCTACGAAGTTTTGTGGAGGGCTGAAATAAATGGATAATTTCGGAATGTTTTTTTCTCTTTCTTTAATATGGCAAGATAGGTCGTTAGCCTCTGCAGATTTGCTCTCCAAGAGTTTTCACATTATCTCTAGATTATGAGAGGGAAGGTAGATATTAGATGCCCTCTATTGGTAATTACCTCAACCACTATAGATGCAGTATCACGCAAGTGGATTTCATTAGAGTCAGTGTGATGAAAAAGCAACCCAAGAAACAGTTTGATTGCCTCTGTGAGGCCCAACATGCATACACACAGGTACGCACACAGGCTAAAAAAAAACTCAAGATGATATTATCAACTTTTTGTCCTACTGCTCCTTTGAGAGTTTGGCAATTAAAATGATAACGATTTTAGAACGAGCCCAAGAATCGTTTTCAGTATCACACTGAAAAACACACACATTCAATTTGCATAAGTGTGTGTTTACATAATTATTACCTGTGTAATGTGGACATATCACGTGCACACTGCTGATGACTCATTTATCAATTCTCGCTGTGCTGCATCAATTCCAGCAGGTCTCTCTCTCTCTCTCTCCCCCTTTCTTTGCTCATCTTCATCCTTTCTTTCTCCACCATACTCTCTTTCTCTGTCCTCTTGTTTGGTGCAAAAACATTTTTGCTTCATTACTTTAACTCAACCTCCTTTGTATGATTACCACCTGCTTACTTCAAAAAACTGAAGAAAACACGACATGCAGATGATATTTAACTGCTGTGCAAGCATCCTGATGTTGACAGAATCTTCAAGCACACAATGTCAATGTTGACAGGCCACGCAACATTGACACGTACTCACGCACACATGGATGCCCAAATTAAATCAGTGCGCTGTAAAGCAGCGTAAAGAATAGTTGTCTGTCAGTAGTAGAGGATTAAGCTTGAATCAGAGTCTAATCACTGGATGTGGGTGTTAAATCCCTGGCATATAGCTTCCATACACTGATGTGTGCAGCTACAGGAAGTTATCTGCTGCTTTCATGGCCATCTGCACCAGAAATCACAGCGCATGCACTGTTCCTCAGCAAGGGAGTCACTGAACGAGTAAATTGAGTTACAAGATCACTACATATGCAATATCGGTGCGCGGGTGTGTGGTGGGTGGGATGAGATAAGTCAGAGGGAAGGCGAAAGAGAAGCGGGATGAAATGTGAAGGGGAGTGAAACTTCAAGGAGGGTGGAGGAGAGATGGCGGGGAGAGTAATTGAACAGTCAGGAAACAGTGAGATGAGTCAGTGAAAGAACAAAATGCAGAATAGAAAACTTTAAAATACTGCCACAACCCCAAAAAGTACTAATCTCTCTATTGTGTGACGCCAGCAGGCAGTGTAGAGGTACCTCATCTGTTCTCATCTCAAGACAATGGAAACTCATTAGACTTTGATTGAAATTCAGCTGGAAAAAAGATGCGACACCAAATACCCAAGGTGTTTTATTGTTTCTTACACTGTTATATTGCAGACTCTTGAAGACCCATCGGTGTAAAAGTGTCAGCATTGTAATCCTGCAGAGCTAACTTTTGCCTTGCGTCACTCATGTGAGTTTGGCCACGTGGCCACATGGGCGAGTAACTTGCGTCAACACTTCCCACCCATTCTCTCCTGGAAAAGAGGAGAGGGGCCCTGGCTAAAGTGACACCATCCAGAGGTGCACACAGCTTATCAAATTTTCAGCGTCTTCTCCAGGAACTATGCTTGGATGGTTTTTGTTTCCAGTGCAACCTGAGGCTGACAAGGGGTCGGTTTGACAACCTGCTAGCTTGGTTTGGTGCCGGACTCTGTCTCTGGCGAGTTTCATTGCCAACACTTGCTCATGTGGGATAGGGTTGGCAATGTAGGACCAGATGTTGATGTTTAAAAATAAAAGTATTCAATAAAGGAGGTAAAAATAAGAGAGGTATAATTGAGTGATTGAAATAAAGGAAGGGACAGAGGGGCAGGTGGATGCTGTTTAAAACAAAGTATTTTTTATGCCACACAGTTTACTATCAATATTTTCTGTGTTTAGTGAGATACAGATATTCATTAAACAATAAACGTCTGGTGATATTTGGACACATATACCATCATGCCTATACAAATATTCTTTTGTCCTGCTTAGACAGATGGTACAACACCAAAGCGGGGTCTTCTGTCATGTTAATAACTTGCAACCAGATAGAAATAGCGTGAGGAGAAGATTGATATTTCTGCACTGGCTCTGTTATTGAGGTTTTGGAATACGTAGGTTTATATTTACCTTTGCCAAGAAGGTTATGTTTTCATTGCCGTTTGTTTGTTTTTCTGTCTGTTTTTGGAGCGGATCCTGATAAATGGACAGATGCAGGATTTTTTTTTTACATTCTTTTACATAGCTTCGATACGGCCGTAGCCTTGGCGAAGGTTTGCCCTCTCGGCTGTTGATGCAATTTGATAAGTTAACTTTTCAAAGGGCAAAGAACTGGGAACTTGGAATTTATCCACATCGACATTTGTGATTGAGGTAATGTGAAAATCAACTGTTAGTGAAGAAACAATGCATTGAGGTTGAGCTACTTAAACCAGTTACTAATCAGAAAATGAATTGTTAATAACCATTTAGCATCAAATATCTTTTTACATGTGGTTTAACTTTATGTGTTTATTGGCTTCCCCCTCCTTATGGAAATGTAAATTCATTTTTTTTCTCCATGCCAATATATCACGATTTGAATTGAGCCAAGTCATGCAGTCAAAAGAGGAATTACCACCTTTGTCATTGAGGGAAATCATTCAGCTTAAACAACTTGTCATTTCGCCAAGGTCATAAATCTCTTAGCATATTAGCATGCTTAGTGTGTGTGCGCACGTCTCTCAGGCATAATTGATGAGCTATGGGAAATACATCCCACTATGCTTAATGAAGATACACAGACGTTTTGTCTGTCACTCTCACACACACACACACACACACACACACACACACACACACACACACACACACACACACACACACACACACACACAAGCATATACATAGATAGAGGTGTGGCAACACTGGGGAGACAGGGGCACACAGGCTCTCCCTGAGGACACACTCAAGTATGTATTGGTCTCAATCAAGTCACTCAGTCAGTGTCACTCACACACACACACACATATTTGTATCACAGTACTTATTTAAACCCAGGTCTCTCTTTTCACCTCCTAAAAATAGAACATAGGAGTGTTTTTAACAGTTTCCAAGAATAGGAGAAGATAAAACAGACACTGATTACCGAGTGGTGGTCTCCTGTGTGTTTGCGTATGTAAGTGTGTGTGCCTGTGGTAGATGGATGAGGGCTTGACTGTCATATCAATCACCATCACAGACGCACAGCTCTAATACAGCACAACTAACGCTCCCTGCTCATGAGGTGTGTGTGTGTGTGTGTGTGTGTGTGTGTGTGTGTGTGTGTGTGTGTGTGTGTGTGTGTGTGTGTGCATGCCATGGTTCTTGTGTTGAATTGTAAATGGAAGATATGCAGTTATGGAGGTGACAGTGAGCAATGGCAGCAAACAGTCTTAAAGATAGAGTGCATGCATTAAAGATGACACAACACACACACACACAGAGTGAAGACCTGAAGATGAATGACAGCACATACACACAAATTAACACGGAGAATCTGTCTTACATTTTCACATCTTTTGTTCAGAAGTCGCCTCTCCTCTCTCTACCTCTTTTTTTCACACACGTGTATGGTTCACACACACACACACACACACACACACACACACACACACACGTATGGACACACACATACATGCACAGTCTGAGAACAAGCACATATCTCACTATTTAGTCCCCAGGAGAGGTCCTCATCCTAATCCCTGATTAACAATATCAGACGGTGGTGACACTTTAATTTAACACAGTGCTTCTGGAGGATTAGCAGCTACATAAGGGGTGTGTGCATACACTCATACGCCCACACATACAAACACACGCAGACTAAAGATCACGCTCATGCTTATGTATATTTGACTTTAGAATAGCCACGGAGGAAATTAAATGATAACAGCTGCAAACACAAGTTTCTGCAACACCGCAAGTTTGGTAAAGAGAAAAGAGGCTTATTCAGTATGTGGAGGGATTCTCTAAATAAACATAAATGTTAAAGGGTTTTGGCACAAGAAGCACCAGGTAGTGTTTTAAAGTACTCTTCCCTTCTGTTTCAGCAACTGTTTGAATATCTTTTTATGTTATCTTACACAAGTTTGTATACGTGCCTGCATAAGTGCAAACTTGCGTTTGAGCCACCAACACGAAGAGAAGAGGATGTTTTCAGTATATACTGTGTACACCCTGCAAGCACACTCAGTTTTTAACAGAGATCAAACAGCGAGTTGCATCAGTGGTTATAATGTGCGTGAAATTATTTAAATTGATGCCTTTAGCCTGGAATCAAATATTCTCACAGGCCATTGTCTTATAATTATTATACATATATCAGGTCGTCTGCAGGACCTGGAGAAAGTACGAGAGAATATGTAAATTCAAAAACATCAGTGTGACATTGTGGAAACTTATAGATCATAGTGAAGTTTCATGTATTGTCTGTTTTTCTTAGCTTGATGTTTCATTGTGCTACTGTCATTCTAACCAGAAACTTTGTGTGTCTGTGTGTGTCTTTGTGTGTGCGTGCCTTTACAGTCATCTGCCTGGTTGGCCTTGGCCTGGTGGTGTTTTTCTTCAGCTTCCTGCTCTCCATTTTCAGGTCCAAGTACCACGGATACCCTTACAGGTAACTATAGCAACCATCAGCACTGTACAGATGCCCACACAAGTTTCACCCAGCATCCTCGGCAGTTATTCAAACACAATATACAAGAATGCAATGATTCTAAAAATTGTATTACCTCTTTTACACTCAAATTAGCAGATATATACGCAGGTTTCTCAAATGCTAATAAACCTGCTAAAAAAAGGTGATTGACTGCACATTGTTTCCGATGTAGAAAAACTATGTACACACGGGTTCATGATTATTTATGCACCAATGCCCAGCAGTTCAATGCATGTCATAACGTTGAATAGAAAAGGTGCAGCATCAGTGTCTAGACTGCCAAAATACAGAGGAGGAAGAATTAGCACGTTTAACCGGGTGTCATGTTTCCATCTGTGTCGATGCCAATTAAAAACCTTTGTCTACTGCAGAGTCATTTTGCCGATTGTATCCACTCTCACTGCAGACAAAAGCCAGATGTCAGTGGGTTTTGAAAAGGGGCTTTACTGCTAAAACCTCCACAGAGACTTGCAGCCTGACTTTTTTGATTCACCACATTTCTTTGAGGTTTTTGTAGTTCACTCAATATGCAGTTACTTATTTATTTTTTAAATCATGGGTCTATCATGGAGGTTTTCTGCAGGTCGTCACAAATCTGGAGGTGCTTTGAAAAATAAAACGCAGTCAAACCCTGTAGCTTAATGAGCCGGATTAGTGGCAATTTGGTCCCACTTTGAGCTAAAGGTCGCCACTACATAAAAAAAGATTAAATGTGTGACCAAAAATATTCTGCAACTCTCCAGAGTCTGGGCCCATCAGCTCTGAAGCACCTGTAGGATATTACAGCTCAACAATAGAACACACACCGAGCTGCACACACTCACCTGCTGGAGGGGATTCAGGGTGTAAAGTGAGGCTGCTGTAAAAGGGCAGATCATTTATTGTTGTGACCTTATGCTAAGACTCCAATTGATGGAAATTTTAGTTGTGGTTTATTCTAACATTTTATTTGAAAGGTTTATATATTAGCCAAACAGTTTTCTAAAAAAAACAAACAAGGACCCTTCATTTTCTTGAAAACAGGTGTGAAATTTTTTGCAGATTCATTTGATCTGCTCTAGTAATTAAAGTGAAGCGTAAACTAAACAACTCCTGTGTTCCCGATTGAGGACTGTTTAAGGATGCATTTTTAAATTACTACAAACAAGAGCATAAACTGTACATACTAATTGTTTAATATGAGATATAAACATTTAAAATGTCTGGCTATAAAAAAAAATTAGTCAGTTCCATCTCTGTAGTCAGATATCAAGTTAATATCGCTCATGTGTTTTTAGTTTTGAATAATTTGATAATTTTATTATTAAAGGTTCGCCAGAATATAAATATTTAAATTGATGTTGTTTAAATTTGACCGTGGCTTCCTATTTATTAGTAAGTAATAAACAATGATAATATAAAATCAAGAAATGTTTTCCAGTAGACTAAGTTTTATGAAAGCAACTCAAACAATGGCTCTGACTCAGGCAGCCTAACTTTCTCAGGCAAGTCATATATATCCATGTACATCCATATATATGTTTTCTCTCCTGAGAGCAGATGCGTCTTCAGCAAGAATATGTTTCGAAACTCTTTCTTAATCATAAACATCCAGCGCTTTTATTTATTTTATTGCTTCAGATGTGTTGTGTTATTGTGCAGCAAACTCTCCAAAACACCTTATTTATATCTGTTCCTTCTCTCCCTCCTCTCTCCTTTTTACTCTTTTGTCCTTCTACATTCTACCTTTTAATGGTCCACTGTCTCCCAGCTTCCTTATTAAGTGAGGAAACGACAGAAGAGGAGGTCAGAGGGTGATGAAGTGGCTGAAGGTCGGGAGGAGAGGAGTTGAGAAGATACTTGAAGAGGAGGAGGCAGTGTTATAATTGAGTCTACAGCTGTTGTTATTGTTTTTTTTTAAATTGACTGCTATCTTCGACTTTGCAAACTGAATAAAAAATAAATTATTCCTACTGACACTGGAAAATAAAGGTGTTTGGCATGTCTATATCTTTGTCCTTTCTTTATGGTCTGTCTTTGGTTGAATGTTGTGTGGGCAGATACAGTGTGATGCTGTTTTTAATCCACATTCATGATCATATTTATGAAAGCTGGTGAGAGAGGGAGAGAACTGAAGCCACATTGTGAGTTGGATGTTAAAAGGACGAGAGTAAGAAATATTGTTAGCAGAAGAATGTAAAGTTTTACGATGAGTTAGTAAAGTTACTTAACAATATGCAGATTTGTTTTAACTGTAAACCCGTCTCTGATGGTTCATTAATCATTAAAAGGCACTGATAGTGGATATTAATGAGAGAGTTTGGGGCTTCGACTCCTTGTGATGTCATCAAGGTTGAAAATGGGTGTGGCTGCATAGAATAGGAAACTCCCACCCTGGGTTCTCACCACGATTGGCTGATAAGAGGCAGTGGAAGTTAAAGAGAGTGAGTGAGATATAGAGACAAACCTGATTAAAGTTAGTTTAATACCGTATGGCTTAAATATTAATTCGACAGAGATTTGGACACCGACATAAGTCCAGTCTCTACCTTCACCAAGGACAGATTTGGTGAGAGATTTCAAAGCAGCGCCAGAAAAACATGCAAATCCAGATTTTATTTTTGTGGTGGTGAACTAGGGGCCAGACTTGTCAGAGGTATGTGTTCTTTGTGCACTTTTAAATGAATATTTTATGATTTAAATATTAAGCGCTTTCCTTTGACCCAAATATGTTGTTTCCGTGTGTCTCCATCCCTGTAAACTTGTGCTGCAAATAGTTAATAGCTTCCAGCTGAATATAAACTTAATAAAACTCAAAACAGTAGGATATTATTAACACTCGCCTGGTTGCGAGTATGTAACTTTTCTTGCAGAGTGTGAGAAGCAGAGGTCATTTAGAGAATATATACATTTCTAATTCTTTCACCTGTGGGCCGCCCACTGACACATTGCGTGGGCCGGAGCGTCAAAACCATTTATGTAACCTGCTGTGTGTGTGTGTGTGTGTGTGTGTGTGTGTGTGTGTGTGTGTGTGTGTG